TGACGTGCTTCAGTCAGTACGAGGCAATGAATGAAATTAACAAATTCAAACTGGACTAATAATGCAACGAATGGTTACGGGTAGAAATACATGAATAGCGAATTACAATGTTATTGAATCAAGTGTTGTACATGATAGTTCAACGAGATATTTTCGTACAGGAGTTCATATGTGTTTCAACAATACTAGAGTCTGTAATAAAAGTATAATATTGTCAACGGGAAGCCTGGATGTTACTTGCCGGAATGTTTTGCTATAATGCTTGGTACTTCTTGTAGTGTTGCTATAGGAGTCTTGATGTAGACTTGATATGCATCACTTTGCCATCGTCCTAGGCATTTAATTAGCCAGTCTGGGATCCCTGCAGCAGCAGCAGTGGTAGCAGCCCCACTCCAAAAGCTGTGACTGGTGTATTGACTGGTATTGTAGAAACCTGCTCGTGCGAGGAGACGTTGCAGTTCAAATGTAATCCTTTGTCTTGTTAAAAATGACCCATCCATGAATTGAAAGGCTGGAGATTGTGTTGGGTGCAAAGCAACGGAAGTGTAACGTAGGTAAGCTCGCACGGCGCAGACAGATGATCCTGAGGCTGCGACGATGATATTTTGCCCACGTCGAAATGGGTCAGTCTTCGACGATTTTATGGTGATGTTGAGACTGTTGAGTGATTGGTCAAAGTGGATATCGGAACGAACCATTGTTGTAGGTTCATTGAAGTTGGTCGGTGATTGAGCAGTGAATTCACTCACACGGAGAAAACCAAAGAATGCAATTGTAAACGCAGACCACATCATGAGTTGATCAACTGGTATGAGTGACTGCGAATAGCGGAGAGCATTTTTTAATGTTCGTAGAATGCTAATGGTGACAGGGAGACGATTACGAACCGGTGCGCTGTATTGTAGTTTTATTCCTTGGAGTGTCCGGTGTAAATTAGTCCAGTTGGACAAGTCTTTGTGATCTGTCTCGATGAGTGCTGTCTCCATTGTGGCTGTGAGATATAATTTGATGGTGTTGTATGACAGACCAGAGGATGCCAGGTGTGTGACGAAGAGCGTTGTGGAGTACTGTGTTACAGGTAAGCTGGGAATTCCATGAGAGTAACAAAAGTTTGTATAACGAGTCTGTCCTTTAGCATATGTCCGACGAGTTGACTCAGCAAGGGAATGGTATGCATAGTGCCTGGCCAGTTGTTCAAGGTTTCCTACAGCACAAGCTTGTGGATGTAGTTGGTGTACTCTTGGATGCTGACTGGTTGTTTCGCTGCTTCTGGTGCGATCTGACGAAACCTTTGGATCTGTAGACGAGACAAAGCATCAGCAACATTGTTATTAGTACCTCTGATATGGGTGACCATGACATGGAAATTTGATTTTGCAGCCTTGAAGAAGATTGCCCATACTAAAGTCATGATGTATGGACAACGTGTGGATCCCTTACTCCAGATGTGTACCACACTCTCATTATTGCAATGGAACATGACACGTTTACCAAACCATGAATTACCCCAAATTAAGCAGGCTAGCAAAATAGGGAGCAACTCTTTCCATGCAATGGAGAGTTCAGGACTATTGGTTGATAGTATTTTTTCCCAGGATGAGGAAAACCATTCGCCATTGAAGTAACCACCACAACCAAGTGTCAATGACAACTTCATCTTGTGATGGAGTGAGGCAGCTGTAGATGCCAGGTCGATCATACGTGTCAAGAAGATTCGCCCAGCTGGTACACATTTACATGCAAAACTGAGTGTGCCGATTAAGGACAATAGTTCACGTTTGGTGCATACTGTTATGGAAGCCCATTTCTGGGTGATATGGTTTATATCACACAGTTTGTTAGTTGGCAATCGCATAACCATGTTCACAGTGTCTAGTTCAATGCCTAAGAATGTTAGTACAGTTGTAGGACCCTCTAGTTTGTCTGGTGCAATAGGGACACCAAGGTCTTTACATACTGATAACATTGTGTTAAGACTGTTCTGTTTGAGAGTTAGGTGGCCCTGCGATGAGGTAATCATCCAAATAATGAAAAATATTGTTATTCTTGTAACAATTGCACACAATCCAGTTAATGGCTTCAGCAATTTGATTAAATAAAAAAGGTGCTGAATGAAA